CACTCAGTTCAGTAAAATGAACCTTCGAAGAGGTTACAGACCTGGCCCTTGGCTAGGTGCTGTCATAATGGTGAGAGGGGGAGCAGGAAGGATCCAAAAGTTAGACCAGCTCCTGGCTGTGAAGCACCATCTCTGCCTGGGGTCTAGTTTCACGGTTTCCTAGCTGTGTGCCCTTGGGCAAGTTGCTTAACCTCTCTGTGCCTTGTCTCCTTGTCTGTTCCATGGGTTTATAAACATGTCCGTGGAGAAGGGCTGCTGTGAGGGCAGTGCCCTGGGGTGCAGACAGGGCAGTGCATGTCTGTGGCTTTTACATTTCTGCGTCTGAGGAAGTTCACCGGGTAGCAGCGGGGAGCTGCACCCCAAGGCACAGAGAGCTAAGAAAGCTGCACCTGTGCTGGAGCCAGAGGGGAAGAGGGCACACCTGCTGGGAAGGGGGGAGTTGGGGGAGGACTCCCAGAGGAGAGCTGTTCTGTGAGATGGGCCAGGAAGGGGGAGCGAGGACATGGGGGTGCTGTGGAGGGGGGCCGGGCTCCCTCCAGGTGACAGGTGCGAGGCGGGGCTGGAGGAGCCCTTCCAGGGCAGGGAGGAAAGAGGAGGGGAGGGAAGGCAGTGTCCCCAGGCTGCACCTGTTGGCTGGAATACTGGGCTCCTGTGTCCCTGCCAGCCCCCTCCACTAAGCCCCTCGGGGCCTCCCAGAGAGGAGGAGCCTCGCCTGGCTGTATTTTTAGTTCCCTGTGCCTCCCCAGCTGCTATAAGACACCTCTCCCTGCCCCCAGCCCCGCGTCTGGCCGGAGGCTCCAGGAGGACAGCTGGGGAGAAGGGGAGACGTGGTCAGTAGGTGGCTGCCAGGGGCGGGAGGAGTGGGTGGAGGGCTCCAGTGGGATCCAGGGTAAGCTAGGGGGTCCCACTGCCCCACTGAGGGCCTCAGGCCGGTTCTGTGGCTCCAGGCCCAGCCGGGCTCTGAGCCTGACCTGGCGCTGGTCCAGGAGGGCTGACCCTTCCAGGGAGGAGCAAGCGGGCAGGGAGGCCTGTCCAGGCTCGCCTCCAAAGGGGCGGCTCCAGGAGGAGGAGGAAGGGAACGGTCAAGGTTGAGGGGACCCCTGGCTTTGAAGAGACAAGATGTTCTCATTCTTTTCATCGTTGGCCCTCTTGGTGGCATCTTAAAGCGTAATCCCCACGCCCCCATGCACTGTGGGGAGCTGTTGGCGACCGTGTGTCCCGGTCACCTGGGCTGGAGTTGTGGCCCTTGGAAGGGGAGGGGGCTGGTGCACAGCCACCTGGGACTCACGCCTGTGTGGTGGGTGCGGAAAGCCCCTGCTGGGGAGTCCGCTCTGGGCCTGTCTGAGCTGAGCGGTGGGACTCGCCAGGCGCCGAAGCACAGAACGGTCTTGCCCATCAGGCAGGCTCCTGGCTTACTCTGCGGGGGGAGGGCACTCAGGTACAGCCCTGGGGTGGTCTTAGGTGAGCCTGCAGCCTCCCTCGTGGGAGAGACCCGGTGGGCCTCTGCGTCCCCAGGGAGCCAGCACGGCTGGGACAAGGGAGTGCGTGGGACAGGAAGACGTATTTTGGTTCAATATAAAGAAGCCTCTTTCAAGTGGTAGGTAGTGAGCTCACTGCGCCTGAGGGTATTCAAGCAGATGTTCCATGACGATCTTTAGGAAGAATTGCCCCCTGTAGGGGGAACTTGGACAAGATGCCATTGAGGACCTCTGTTAGCTTCAGGACACCAGGGCCCTGTAATTCAAACCTCTCTCTCTCCCCTTCCCATGATTCTGGAACCGAGGACCCACGTTTCCAGAGTGGTGAAAGTTGAGGACCCTGGCTAATTAGAGGGTCTCAAGACTCCAGATTTGCAGACTTGAGGATGATTCTGCAAGTCTCAGATTTTCATATTCAAAGGAGTCCATGCTATGAAACAGAAAAAGAAGGGGCAGGTCTGAGTTGGTGGGATCCAGTTTTGCCCTATTGGGTGTCTAACCCACCCCTGTGTGTGTGTGTGTGTGTGTGTGTGTGTGACATGAGCGTGCAAGGCTGCAGAAAGTTGTGCACACAAAGGCAGTGTGGCCTTCCTATTTCATGCGCCTCCAGCTCCTGGCCAATCGAAGGCTGTCACAGGGATAATTATAGCCCCCAAACAGAGCTGGCGACTCCAGGTAGCCATAGCAACCGTTAGGTAACGCCGGCTGTGTTGTAGAGATGTGTAAGTACAAACAGATGCCGGCCCCTTCCTATTAGCTTAAATGGTAAAACTTAAAAGGCTCATCGACTTCAAAGCCGCAGGTTCCCCGCGTGTGCCAGCTCATGCCGTGCCGACCGAGGGCGACAGCTTCATATTAAACACGTTGGCGCTGGTAAGGAGTTGATGAGATTTTAAATACTCAGGCCGCCCCCAGACAACTCGCGGGCTGGAGATGGGAGAAGAGCTGCAGGTGCCCGTTGGGTTTTCAGCTCCACTGCTTACCAACCTCCAAATCAGCCCTGCACACTCCTGGGCTCCCATCCAGCAAGTGACCTGAAGCGGGGCTGACGCTGCCAGGGTCTGAGCAGACTCTCTCAGAGCCCCCCTTCCTTGGGATCCTGGTCCTGGTGCAGGGTGGGCCTCAGCTCCAGGCTATTGAACGGAATGAATGAATGAATGAATGAATGATGAATGGTGGCCCCCTGAAAAATCCTTTTGGCGTTTTAGCTACTCATTTTGCTGCCGCATCTTCCACTGTTAAAGTTGGATGAGCTCCTGGTTGCCCGGCTGGCATCCTGGGTTAAGACTCCTGGAGGCTGCCCGGCTGGCATCCTGGGTTAAGACTCCTGGAGGTCACCTGGCTGGCATCCTGGGTTAAGGCTTGTGGGTGAATTCTGAGCACATTGTCAGGGACGGGCACCTGACCCTTTGGGTTATTAGGAACCACCTGACTCAGTCAATAAATTAGCTCATTGAAAGGATACACAGGGGGTCATTCAGCAAGTGGTAGCCCCTGGTAATCCTCAAGTGGTGATTGGCCGGGCTTTGCCCAGGTCAGCACGGAGGGCCCTCTAGACCCCAGGCAGCAGGGAGGGCTCTCGATGGGGGTTCTTACTCAGGGCTGGTCATGAAACAGACTCTCTCTGCCTCTGCATTTCTTCCTCCCAGCGCCCCTGCTCGCATTTTGAAGAGGGGCTCCGATTGCCGTAGCTGCTAGACTGGCTGTGGGACAGAGCCCTGCCCTTGGCTGCCGTAGGCCAGGTGCCAGCTCTGGGCCAATCAGCTGAGTCAGGCAGTGAGTTACGTGCAGAACATGACTGCCAAGCCCTCCCCTCAGCAGGCGCTGGGGCAGGGCAGTTACTTTTAGAACGAGTTATATATGGAGGGTAGTTCTAACTGCACGTCTGATATCGGCCCAGGACGGTCAGCCTGCCTGCTTACTTAGCCCCATTGTCCACAGCTGTGAAATGGGGTGATGCCCATGGCCTCACAGGGCCATTGTGAGGACCAGAGGTAATCCCGCCCAAGGAGGCACTTTGTAAACGGTAAAAGCCCATGTACATGGAAGAAAGGGCTTGTGTCTACCTCGATCGTAGCACGAGATAAACTATTCTGTAATTTTATTTCTCATACTCACCTCCCCAAGGAGACTGGCAGTTTGCTGAACACAGGGGTATGTTTTATTTGGTTTTGTGTCCTCTGCATGTAGCACAGATTCTGACACACAGTAGGTCCTCTGTAACTGTGTGTTGCATGAATGGATGGATGGATAGATGAAGGATGGGTAAATGAATGGAGGGGGTCAGTGGATAGGTGATGGATAATGGATGGATGGATGATGGATGGGTGGGTGGATGGGTGGATGGATGAGTGGGTAGAAGGCTGGATAGATGGATCTTGGACAGATGGGTGATGATGGATGGAAGGATGGATGGATGATGATGGATGGATTTAAAGAAGGCCAATCATCTTCATTTGCCTTCCGTGCACGCCACCATCAATGAGCATTTATTCAATGAGCATTTATTCAACTCAAATCTGGTACAAGACACTGTGTGAGGTCCAAGAGATACACAGATGAATAAAACAGAGCCCCTGTCCGCTTGAACATCAGAGTAAAGTATTCAGGGGCCCAGCTCTCTGGGTTCAAATCCCAATTCTTCCGCCCACTAGCTGTGTGACTGACAAGCTTTCCTAACTTCCTCTTGGTTAAATGGGGAGAATGTCAGGATGTCTCCTGAGGAGTTACCAAAAGTAAGGTGCTTGGAACAGGGTCTGGCGCCCAGCACAGTCTCTGAGTACTAATGGGGGAGCCCTAAGGGAAACAAAGACACAGGCCGCAGTGAGGGAGCCATACAATAGGACCACAGGCAGACAAATGGAAGGAGGAGGCCACGAATTGTGCCTTGAGGGGTTACGTCAAGCAAAACTTCCCTGAGGGAAGTATTTGAGCAAGGCCACAAAGCCGGTTCTCTGGGTGGAGTGAGAAAAATCCAGACTCCAAGAGGTTATGAGTTTGCCCCGGTCTGCCAGCTGTGAGCATAAGCCCATCTGGGCTCCCCACCACGTCTGGCTGGGTGAGGGGCATGCTGGCAAAACGGGGAGAGTGCGCACCAGGAGATGGACAAGGGCCAGGACGGCCCCGGCCAGCCGGGCACCTGCTGCCCACGCCAGTTCCCCTCGCTGGCAGCAGGGAGAGTTGGGTTTCAGGCTGCTGGCAACGGCCTTGGTGGTGCCCTTTGTGTTGGCCTTTGAGAGTCCAGACAGTGGCCCCACCTACTCCCCACTCTTTACACACACACAGCCACCCCCACCCCCACCCCCGCGTGGCCTGGGCTGTCCTACCTCCCCACAATGGCACCTGCCCCGAAATAGCTTCCATGTAAGGGCCAGAGAAAGGAGGAGATTAGACCCCTGTGTGGAGGTGGGGGCCAGGGGACAGGGGGCGGGGAGGGAGCAAGCTGTCAAGTGATCTGTGTCAGGCATCGGGAGAGTATAAAACCCCTTTGGGGCCAGGCAGCCTCAAACCCCAGCTGCCGGGACCAGGACACCCAGTCAGCCTACACCTGCTCTTTCTGTCTCCTTCAGACTACGCCATGGGGCTCAGCGACGCGGAATGGCAGTTGGTGCTGAATGCCTGGGGCAAGGTGGAGGCGGACATCCCGGGCCTTGGGCAAGCCGTCCTCATCAGGTAAAAGGAAGAGATTCTCTTGTCCTATCACCGGCTTCCCAGAGATCAGGGTGTTTGACAGCAGGTGGAACCTTTGCCCGGGGTCGACCAGTTGCCTGTGTTAGTTGAGCTTGTTAACTCACCACCCCTGCTCCCCCTGCCCTATTTGGTTCTCCTTTGCTTTTAAATGTCAGGGATTGGAGTCAGAAAAGGAAAGGGGATCCATCTCACACTTATGTCTGCTGTCGGGAAAAGCCTGATACCTTGAGCCCACCAGGAGGAATTATAGACAGTCAGTTAACAGGGGCCCCGAGGGACCTCATCCAGCTGCCTCACTTATTAGATGAGGACAGAAAGGATCCGAGAGGGGACGACATCCCCCCCTCCCTCCGTCAGAAGTCCATTGAAGTCTACAAAGTCCTAAGGTTAAGATATGACCCTCAAGATGAGACATGTAGCTCTAGACCAGTGGTTCTCAACCTTCTGGCCCTTTAAGTACAGTTCCTCATGTTGTGACCCAACCATAACATTATTTTCGTTGCTACTTCATAACTGTCATGTTGCTACTGTGATGAATCGTCATGTAAATATCTGATATGCAGGATGGTCTTAGGCGACCCCTGTGAAAGGGTCGTTCGACCGCTAAAGGGGTCGCGACCCACAGGTTGAGAACCGCTGCTCTAGACCAAGCTTTGCCACTGAGTGTTTGTGTGACTTCTGAGCCTCGATTTCTTCGCCTGCACAAGGGGGAGATCCAATATCCACATATAGAGTCAAAGTGGGAATGATAGAGGATGATGCTTGTAAGGGGCCCAGCACTCTTCCTGGCATATAGTGAGTTGCAGAGTTCGTAACTGCTACAGACGAAGCCCGGCGTGGGGCCCTTTAAGTATTATAATTAGAAAACAGGTGACGGGGGCCCATAAGTGGCTTTTGGCTTGAATCTGAGCGCTCAGAGTGGTGTGGTCTCCACACACCTTGCCTCCTACAGCAAGGGGTCCCCGAGTAAACCAAAGAACAAAGAATTCCAAGGTCTGGTTACCGGGGTGGTTGGTGGCTTGTGAATGGAACCTCGTTTCCCCTTGCCCTCCTCCCCAGACGGGGATCCAGTCTCCTCTTTTCCCCGCCCCTCCCTCGTGCTGGGGGCAGCCCAGGTCAGACACCTGTGTCAGCCTGGGAGGAAGAGGCTGCGGGATTGCCACGAGCGAGTGGATCGTCCTTCACACTTCAATTCACAGATGAATTCCTCCTTCGTTCTGAGCCAGACCAGGTGTTCCTCTCCCCTCAGGTGCCCTTGCGCTCTCCCGGGGCCTCACCCACTTCCAGCTCCCCCTGGGAGAATGGTGGGTCGTGGGCACTCTGTTATCTGACGCGCGCGCCCTTGGTGGTCCATGCTGGAGACACGGAGGAAGGACAGTCAAGGGCGTTCTCTGTTGCCTTTCTGCTCCTGTCGCTGTGGTCTAGCTGCTGGGCTGCCACAAGTCCTGTTGGATTAGACAAAAGGCTCCCCCCGAGGTTGACATCAACTCCTCAGCCACCAATTTGCTGTGTGATCTTGAAAAGGTCACCACTGCTCCTCTCTGCTTCCTATTGGTTGAGTGAAGGGGGGGTGCCATGGTCTCTGAGACCCTTCCCCTCTTGCACTGGCACTCCCCAAGTCCACGGTCCTCCCTGCTGCAGGAGAGCAGGCGGGGAAGTCCGGTGTGAGACCCATGTGCAGAGCGGGGAGTCTCCAAGGTGCTCTGGGGGCCGCCAGCCCCGAGGCAGTGCCTGGATGTTGAAGGAGACTCGGGGCATGGTGTCATCAGGGGAAGCATTTTCTCCCTTCCCAGGGTGGCTCTGAGAGTCCTGCCACGGGCCAGGCGCCAGGGACAAGACGTGATGCACGAGGCTCGTGGCTCCTTAAGAATCCAGGGAGCCTGATGCCCTATCACATCCGAGGCTGCGGGACACGCAGAGACCATGCCAACTGGTTCTGCTGCTCGGTGGGGGGTGGGGGAGGGCAGGGAGAAGACGCTGGCTCCCGGGCCTGCTGGTGCCCCGGTGTGACCTGGCCTCTTGGTCCTGCCCCAGATGATGAACCTGGAAGGTCACGGCTCCCACACCTCTGGTTACCAATGAGGGCAGTTGGGTTCAGCCGGGCCTGTTCCTACAGCTGAGGGCTCTCGTGATCATCATGTTCTAGAGCAGCGGTTCTCAAACTTCCTAAGGCCGCAACCCTTTAATACAGCTCCTCATGTTGTGGTGACTTCCAATTTCATTGTTTCAAACTGAACATAATTAAAGCATAGTAATGAATCACAAAAACAATATGTAATTATATATGTGTTTTCCGATGGTCTCAGGCAACCCCTGTGAAAGGGTCGTTTGACCCCCAAAGGGGTCGCGACCCACAGGTTGAGAACTGCTGTTCTAGCGTGTGAAAGCTGGGGGGCCGTTGGAGCGTCTGGTTCCAGAAGCGAGGGTTCAGGAGTGAGGGGGCTGCTGAGTGGGCCCCAGGCCCCTGCCTTGCCTTCTCTTGTCCAAAGTTTTCCTGCTTTATGTATTTTTTCACTTGTACAAAGGATCTCGAGGTCAGGGAAACCTGAAAATCACTGCTGGTGGCCAATAATTCCCATGGTGCCGAGAGGAAACGGCCCAAAAGTCTCAGTTAGCCGGGGGCCTCTGTAGGCAGAACCCCACATTCCTGACCCTAACACTTGCGCTGCTGCTATGGTGCAGGGTGATGGGGGTGGCGATGGAGGTGATGACGAGACGAGGGTGGCGATGTGCCGGAGGTGATGATGGTGGTAGAAACGAGGAGGACAGTGAATACTGGAACAGTACACACTGATAGCCAGGCCCTGTGTTAAGTGTTTCCCAGATACTAACTCGCAACATCTTTGTGAGGTTGAAATGCTGATCATCACCAGGTTTATCAGAGAGGTTAAGTAACTTGCCCAAAGTCACACAGCTGGAATTCAATTCCAGGCAGCGCGCACTCACCGCACCTGCTCTCACTGCTGCGCGATCCTGGCCCGTGGTCCCGGCCCATCCCCGCTCTGGTTCTTTGGTGCCGGAGCAGAGAAGAATCCTGCAGGTCCACCGGGCCCTCGGTCTCCGGGTGGGGGTCTGGCTGGCATCCGTTCAGCGGACACGGGAACCGGCCTCGTTTCTCTCTGACCTGCCTGCAGACTGTGACAAACCAGGCAGGTTGGAGATGGAACTGGAGGTGAAAACCACAAGGCCAGGGGCGTTGCTGGAACGCGAGGGAAAACACGGCCACCCATTTCCGCAGACGAGGTGCTTCGGCAGCTCATTTTGGGGGCTGCTCCTGTCAGGCGCATCCGGGTCTGTGCCGGGGACGCTCAGCTGTGGGCACTGAGAGCCGTGGGCACTCATTAGACAAACTCTCTGGTACCGTGAGAAACAGGTCCGGGCTCCCTCTGTGCCAGCTGTGCTCAGAGCAGAGGCTGAGGCGGGGTCCTGCCTTAGAATTCGGAGGCTGAGAAATCAGATGGGTGAGCAAGACCCAGAGAGGTTGAGTGGCTTCTTTAATGGCACACAGCACGTTGGAGACAGCTGGGGCCAGAGCTCAGCTTCCGTGATTCTCAGTCCCATGTTCCTTCTCCCAGACACCTGGGGACTCCCAAAATGTCTGAGTTCCCTGTGGGTCCCAGGTCGTTGGCCCCATTCTGCCCTAGACAGACACCTCCCCATCTCCCCTCGTCGGGCCCCGCCTGTGGGTGCCAGGTCTCACCTCTGTCAGCAGGAGTTCCAGGATCATTGTCACCAGATAAAGATAGCCAGGAGTATGGACCCTCGGGCGGAAGGTGCCGGAGAGGAGCTGTCAGTGACACTCGAGGCTTGGCCGGGGCCCCGGGGTGAGGTGGTGACATTGAGCCGGGCTGTGGACAGCCCCGGGCTTTCTGGGCGAGCCGGGGGGATGCTCCCAGGAAGGCAGGGTTCCTGTCGGTGCCGTGTGGAGCGTGCTTGTGAGTGCATGCGTGTGCGTGCATGTGAACACAGGTGTGTGTGGGGAGACACACTCATATGCGTGTGCGTGCATGTGAGCACAGGTGTGTGCGGGGAGACACACTCACAGTTGGGAGGAGAGGGAGCAGGCAGACGGGGTTTTCTCCTCCACACATTTCAGGGGGCACCCGAGGGAGAGAGCGCCCGTTATGGAGCCGCCCAAGGTTGGGTTCGGGTCTGGGTTCTGCCACCGACTGGCCGCATGACCCTGGGCTGGTCGCCTGCCGCTGTGGCCTTCTGTAGACCCAGGAGTGAAGTGGGGAAGTCACCCCCACTCAGGGCCAGCATGACTCCCTTTAACCACCACCAGCCTTTTCGCAGCAGGAAGGACAGGTCCAAGGCTGGAGGCGCCTGCTCAGGGTCCCTGGCAGGATTCCTCTGTGGCCTGCTCGCTGGGTCCCTCGCAGGAGCGAGGACCTGGTCTTTGACGGGTGGCTCCCACCAGGGCCCGTCGCCATCTGTAGTGTAAGGGGTGTCAGAGGTGCAGGGAAATCAGAGTTTGGGCTCAAAATAAGAGCTTTCTGAGCCCGAGAGCTGCTCTGGGTGGCACGGCTCTCACAGGGAGTAAGCCTCCCGTCGCTGGAAGTATGTAAGCAGCGCAAGGATGAGCCCCAGGCAGGAAGCTGTAGAGGTGGTCCCCAGCATGGATGACATTTTGAGTCACTCAGCCCTGCCTTCAGTCTGACTCTGCTGCATTCCAGCCCTGGAATATGGGACGAGGACTTCACACCTCGGGGCCTGTTTCCTCACCTGTGATGTGGGGGCACTGTGATCCCAAGGGCAGTGCAGGTGCAGAGCCGAGCACGGGGCCTGCACATGGCAGGTGCTCAACAAAGCCAGCGTCCTTTGGTCCCCGCCTCTGTTCCGCCCTTGATGCTACCCTGACCTCTACTCTCCAAACCCCTTAGGGAAAGCTGGGGTGAGGCCAGGGTGCAATGCAGCGGGGCTTTGCCTTCCTGCCTCTCAAATCACAAGGGAGAAGAGGAAGGCGTGAAAATTCCTAATGGCAAGCATTTCTACGACCCGCAGCACATGTGACCTCATTTGGTCCTCACTGCACTTCTATAGGCAGGGACCAGTGAGCCCCATTCCCCGGATGAGGAAGCTGAGGCACGGGGAGGTGGAGGGACTTGCCCAAGGTGACACAGCTGGGAAGCGGGGGAGTCCAGATTTGAGCTCCAGTCTGGCCACCTCCACACCCCACTACATGCTCCCGCGTCTGACTCCAGCCCTCCTTGTTCCCACAGTCTCTTTAAGGGGCACCCCGAGACCCAGGAGAAGTTCGAAAAGCTCAAGAACCTGAAGTCGGAGGATGAGATGAAGGCCTCCGAGGACCTGAAGAAGCAGGGCGCCACCGTGCTCACGGCCCTGGGCGGCGTCCTCAAGAAGAAGGGGCAGCACGAGGCGGAGCTGAAGCCGCTGGCCCAGTCCCACGCCACCAAGCACAAGGTCCCGGTCAAGTACCTGGAGGTGCGGAGCAGGGCCAGGGGCGGGGGGAGAGGATGGAGGGAGTGATCTCAGAAGCTTAGCCACTAACTCGCTGGGTGACCTAGGTCACTGCTCTCTGTGTTCCGGTCTCCTCCTCTGTAGGGTGGGCTGGCACCCACGTGGCCTTCCTCCTGGGGTCACTGGGATTGTATATATTTCTCTCCCAAATCGGTATGTCGTTACCCAGGAAGCAGGGGAGAGTGGGGATCAGGTGCACAACTTGCACTCTCTCCACAGGTAGGTACTCTTATCATACCCACTCGACAGATGAGGAGACTGAGGCGCAGAGAGGTGAAGTAGCTGGTGTGTGGTCACAGAGGTATCAAGTGGCAGAGCCAGGATTCAGTCGAGGTCCCTATCCCTGCAGAACCCCAGCCCCTGACCCGGTGCCGCTGGGTGTGTGACATGCAGGACTCTGTGGCCGGGAACTCAGCAGCTGGAGCTCAGTTTTGGGGCAGGGCGGCTGGCAGGCTGGCTCTATTGGTTCCAGCATATTTACAGATGAAGCGACAGAGCCTCAGGCGTCCTAGGGGAGGAGGGGACATGGTGACAGGGAGCGCTAGGGAGCTTGGGGACCAAGGGCCGAATGGATGGTGCAGCCCTTGGGGGCAGGAACGGCAGGCAGGCTGGTGTGCAAGGAGGGTAAGGATAATGGTGATAGGATCGGCCTTAGTCACCACATGGGATTCTCACAATCACACCCAAAGGTTAGGAGCCGCATTCCGTGTTTCCTTTCCTCTCACACAAAAGAAGTGCAGAGGGAGGGAGTCAGAGCTGGTAGGAAGTTCCAGGGATAGAGGCTCTTTCTGTTCTGCCCTCCAGAGTTGACTCATCATCCAAGGTGGCTGCTAGAGCTCCAGCCATCTGGTCCAGATTCTAAACAGGAAGCAGGAAGAGGAGGGACGGCTCTGGTTTAAGGAGTCTCAGGAACCTCATCCAGTGGTGTTGTGCACACTCTGTTGGCCAGGCGTTAGTTATAGACCACCCCTGTCAGCTCGGAAAACTGGCGAGGGTAGTCAGTTGCCACTCCAAATACAATTAGAAAATGGACACTGGGCAGGCAAGCAGCAGTCCCTGCCCCAGGCAGGTACCTTTTTTTAAATCCCCATTTTACAGATTTGGAAACTGAGGGCTCAGAGAGGTTAAGCAGATTGCCCGAGGTTCAACAGCGCGTAAGCCAGGAGGGATAGCTTGATCTGGGGTACTCTGGGACCCACGGGTCTTAATCCCTGTGACACAATATCTCCCATCAACCACCAGCACCACCAACAGCCAGCACCTCATCTTCCTGAACCCCTACGGGCCCCCCACCACCCAGTCACACACAAACTCTCCTGCCTTGCCCACTGAGCATCACAGACGTGAGGCGTAAGCATCACTGCCTTTGAGATCAGCTCACACTGTGCTCCCCGCCCTCCCATCGCCTCCTGCCAAATCCCTGTCCGTCATGCAACACTCAGCTCTGCAGCCACTGCCTCAGCACCAGGCAGTCAGCTGCTCCCTCACCAGCCCTCCCCCCAGCAAAGGCGCTTGATCCTCCTGTCATGTCACCTGCCCGGATGTGTTGTAATTTATTTCTTTACCCAGCTGTCTCCTGGCTGGGACTGCGCTCCTCAAGGGCAGACCCGGGCTCTCTCCCATTGCCGAGCCCCAGTGGCCTGTGGTGGGCTCACCGGACAACGGAATGACCCGTCCCCTCTCCAGGGACGAGGACACCGAGGCTGAGAGAGAAACCCAGGTAGCCAGGTCGGCACCACCAGCCGGCAGACTGGAGCCCAGGTCTATGTCGACAAGCATCATCTGCTATAAACAGTTAGGACTGAGCCCCATGAATGCTCTTCCTCTCACTGAACTCTTGCTGCGTCTCACCTGGGAGTGAGGGGCCACTGTCTCCTCACCTGTCCAGCTGCCCCTGCCCACAGCTTTCCAGGTGTTAGTGGCTCTGCTGTAGACTCGGGAAAGGCTGAGCTGGGGAGCCTGATGGCGTCCTTGAAGCCCCCACACTTTCAAGGGCAGGGCTTGCTCTACTGCACCGGTAGCCACACTTCATTTTGTTGCATTTATAACATTAAAGGTAAACGTGGCATATGTCCCCAAATCAAGGCTCAAAGGCAGGTGTTTTCTGGGTGTGGAAACTTGCTCTTCTTGAGGCCTCCCTCAGCACGCTCTCCACCCACCCCCCCCCCCCCCCCCCGCTTTCGGTCACTTGCACCCCCAGGTGCCCTGAGAAAATGGGAAAACCCGACCTCGGTGCAGCCCCTGGCTCCACCCCGGCTCCAGCCGTTGGTCATCCACAGCCCCCTGGGTACAAGCTCCAGCCCAGACCTCGGTCTGGCCCCTTCCCCGTCCGGGACTCTGTACATGACCCCTGGCCGGCGTGTAGCTGGCATGAGACTGTGAGGAGCCGTTGCAAAGGTGCAGGAGACTTTTCCATCCGAGACCCTCCAGCCCGTAGCAGCCTGTGCTGTAGATGTCCCTGCCTCCATGTTTCTGGTGGTGGCGGTGAGGCCAACGGGAGACAGGGCTTGCCCTGGGCTGAGCCGCAGGCCGGGTCCCTGTCCGCCTCTCTCTCCTTCCCTCCCACCA